GTCGTCACTTAGAACTCAATGAGTCCTGACATTATAGTACTTTGCAAATTATTTAGCACATTTGACTGCTGCTCCCAACAGCTACCAACCAGTAGCCATGACCAGCATAGGCAAGGGCACGGCAGCTGACTCAGAATGCCCCGCTCCAGACATACCACCCACCATCTGCGTAATGGGAATGGAGCTTAAGATGGGACAGAGCATTTCCTTTTACAAGACCGAGTTGGAAAAATCCCTGAAGACCACTGTTTGTACTTGAGGGTGACAAAGTCACAATGAGTTACAAATTACTGATAATATCTTAAGTTCTGTTTCGGAGAAAGCAAGAATGAGCCTAGAAATGGAGAGATCTTACAGGAATGAGAACGTAGGCGTTCCAAAGATAAATTTTACCAACTTTACAATTGTGTGCAGAGCTTGCCATTATTAAAAGAAGAACTTCCTGGGTGTAGAAACCACCATGTAACCTATAGGTTATGTTTTGAATGAAAACAAAATTTTTCCCAACTCCAATCGAATCTCCAGAATCCTTATTCAGATCTGTAACACACAGTTTTTGTACAGCACTGAATTTCCCATTGTTGAAAACGGAATAATCTCTAAAATGTCATTCCTTACATCAGACCATATGCCCCAAGCGCTGGTGAGACACTGGGGATACACAAGTGAATAGTACACAAATCTTGCCCTCAAGTTGCTCGGAATGTAGATTTAAAAAAAAAAAAAAAACACGCTCTGGTGATACTCTTCTTCTGAAACCTACTGCACGTGTGACCTTAGGGAGTCAATACACTTCCGTTTCCTCATCTCAAAACCAGAGGTGATAACAACGTATTAATTAATGCCAGGCAGCACAGGGAGGTGAAGATTAAACAGGTGAAGATAAAAAAATAGAAAATTTAATACAAATGTTATGTGTTAACATAATGTTAATGTTGATGCTTATACAGGTCCTCTCACTTTATAGAGAAGGGGACATTTATGAAACAGTGACTATGCTCTGACTCTGTGTGAATCAGAAAATCTCCTAATGACTTCTGCAAAGGAAATGGAGCTGCATTACAAGGAGAAAAAAAGCTAGCCCTGGGATGTAATTCTTTTTGATCATACAATAATGGAACAAAGTGTGTCTCAAGAAAATAATCATTTTCTGAAGAGGAAAAACAGATTGTTTGCAAACATATCATAAAATATAGCGACTTCATAATGCAAACTTCATTTCACTAAGACTAAAGTACAGATGAGAAGGAGCCAGTCCTACACCGCAGGTGCCCGAGGGCCAGTGCACTGTGCACAAAGCAAATCTTAGAGAACAGAATCACTTAATTGTTGAGATTTAGATCCTACGTGTTTACTACGTACGGCTATTATGTTCCATTTACAGGATTTGATACATGTTTTGTGCAATTATGTTAATAAAAATGCTATGTGTAATGGTTCAAGTGTTTTCCTCTGAGGAAACCCAAGCTATAAGCTAAAAGCTGTCCATGTCAGTTCTACTGAGGAAAGCACTAATTGTTTGCTTGTCTACTTTAGGGTTTATCTCCTAGTTTGGTCTAACCCTTTCCGCTGATTGGGTTCCTTTATTAGTGCTTTCTGCCAGTGAGCTCGCCTGAAGGATAGAGGAAAAAAGATGAAATGCATTCCTCCACGAAGGGGATTTTGTTCCTACGAACAATCTTGGGATGTGCATTTTATTTTTATTAAAATTAATAAAAATTAAAGTTTGAAGCTCATCACTTCTTCTCCCCAGATCCATTCTCCTTCCTCCTCCCCAGAAGTGGCCACTAAGATGATTTTTTTTTTTTTAATTTTCATTTATTTATTTATTTTTCCCTCAAAGCTCCAGGAGATAGTTGTATGTCATAGTTGCACATCCTTCTAGTTGCTGTATGTGGGACGCAGCCTCAGCATGGCCGGAGAAGCAGTGTGTCGGTGTGCGCCCAGGATCCGAACCTGGGCCACCAGCAGCGGAGCGCACACACTTAACCGCTAAGCCAGGGGGCCAGCCCCACTAAGATGATTTTTGAGGTTATCCTTCCAATCCTCATTTTTATAACTTTATTTTATATCCATATAAACATCAATGACAGCCAGTATTATTTCGTGTAGTTTTTTCATAGTTGGAATCATATTGAATATATTCTATACCTTGCTTTTATGCAAACCACATTGTTTATCGAGTTCAATCCTGTCTAAATAGAAAGAGAGATCTGGTTTATTTATTTTAGCCACCCTATGGTATTCCAACCTACAAATCTTCAATATTTTTATCTGTCCACAGATTGACATCACATTGTTTCTAACTTCTTCAGTATTGAAAACAATACTGCCACACACATCTTTGTACATTTATATAGAACAGGAATTATTTCCATAGGAAAACAACACTTAAAATCATTAATAATTGCTATGGATACAATGTAATATAGTTGGGAATTTTTGTCAAAGTTTATTCCAATAGGAATTGTTTAAGGAATGAAAACTCTATTCTTGACCTACAAATTATAATGGTAAAAATTAATACCAAAAAATCAGTTGTGCACAAAAAAAGTAAATGTAAGTGGGTTTTTTGAGATCTTCTATTTCTGATCATTTACAATGTTATTCTCCGTGGACGTGAATGAGAGTTAACTTCATTGCAATGATACTCCAGATATATTTATGCTTAAGAACTTCCAAGTATATTTCTGATGAATTTTTCCTAAAACATCAAGGATGCTAGCTGTTCTTAGTGGAGGAAATCCTAAAATCAATCTAAAGTGTGTTTGTCATTTTTTTTTCTTCCTCCGACATGCCAGGATGGTCCTCCCTTAATGCCTTTATACTGGCTGTCTCCTCAGGCTGGATGCCTTCCCTCCTGATGTACATGACTCATTCCACCTCCTCCAAATGGCAAATCTCTGTGAGATGCACCATGACCTACCATGGTCTCTGGAGTCAGACTTCTCATACTAGCTGTATGAACTTGGGAAAGCTGCTGAACTACTCCCTGGGGAGTAACAATAACTACCTCTTGGACCTGTTGTGTGAATTAAACACATCTGCATTGTAAAGCTCTCTTCCTTACCAACATTCTCAGTGCCCAAAGTCAACTGTTGGCTTTTTGTTTTGTTTTTTACTTTACTTTGTGTTTTTTCTAAACAGGTTCTGAGTGATCAGAACGTCAATTTCTGAAATGAAATTACTCTGAACCAATGACAGCGTTAAAAGAAATAAGGCACATGAGCCACACATTTAGAGAATTTTTACTAAAAACAAAATAACCACAATTTTTAGGAAGAAATTAATGTTTGTGATTTGCTTTAGCAAATATGAGAACTTATAAGACATAGTGGGAATCAAACAAATATAAATAAAAATTTATTTATTATTTTTACAATACTTTATATACAAAGTATACAGATTATACTTTGCACAAAACAAGTACATAACAAGGAAGGAACAGGTAAATTTCCCTCTACCTAAAAGGATGTTCGTGTGTCTGCAGATACAAATCATACTCATCCTCAAGGAACTCAGAATGTGTTACCCGCATAAGCATCTTCTGGATGCTTCTCCTCTCCCAACCCCACTCCCAGGCAGAAGTGGAACCCCCCCGTGCTCTTAAAAGTTTTATGGGTATTCGCCTGGGATGTCTTATGACATGACTAACTTCTACCATCAATTACAGCCTTTCTGTTGGCTTAAAACATCATCCCAACTAGACTTGCTCCAAGGCATGGTACAAAGGCTGGCTCATGGTGGCTTCTTGTCATATATGTGGGACTATATTAAGAATGTATTCCTGCCGGCCCTGGTCGTTTTTTCCATCCTGGATAACCAAAAGCTATACTTTCTCAAATAAATTTCTTAAATTCTAGCACCAAGTTCATCTGAATGCTTCTCACCGATCGCTACTTGAAGATACTTCAATCATAAATGATTAACTTTCCTTATCAGTCAAGTAGCCCGAGGTCTAAATTTCATATGGATCTAGGTCAAGCATTTGCTGCTGAAATCGTTAGGGAAACTGGCGGTTGCTAAAGGAATGGTCATCCAATCCACAGATTGGGGGCCAGCCCTTTGCCCCTCTCTCGCCCTCCTCTGCTACTGACTGTGATTAGCTCTCTGCAAAATAATAATTCCCCTAAGCAATGGGCAGGACTAGCCACAAAAGGAAAGCTGCTACATATTAGCAGCTCTGGAAGGAAAAAATACAAATATTTGGTGAAAGTAAAAGATTCAAAACCATGATGTAAAATAAGGTGAGATTTTTGAAGCATCTATAGATTTTTCTTTAGCCTGTCATATAGATAAACTATAATTATTTGGACAGAATACAAATATAGACATATATTCTGACAAATCAAATTGTTTCTTACACTATTAAAGTGGATATGAAGAGTTATTCACTCAACAGATACCGCTTTTGTATCTATTCTGTACATAGAGTTTCCCTGCGTTTAAGATGATAATTGAGTTGGGGAAGAAAGACAAACAAGATTGCAGTGTTAATAATATCTAACAATAGTATGAAAGATGTTATAAGAAAGAAAAATATTCAGCCAATATTTTGATCCATGTCAGTCCTAATATACTAATAACCAATTATTATCATTAGTATATTATCATAATCATTAATAGCTACCATTAATCAAGCATTACGTTAAGTTTTACATGAGTCAGATTTTACCATTATGAGATAAGTACCATTTTTACCCCCATTTAACAGGTGAGGAAACTGAGGTCATGAGACATCACATAGTGACAGGTAGTGGAGACAGGATTGAAACCCAAATCTACCTCACCAGAGTCCAAACTCTTGCCATCATACTATAGGTATCTTTTTTTCTAAATTTTGGGTCAAGACAAGTCCATATCCATTGGCAACTAATATTTTAGTGTTAACACAGACAACCTCTATTACTGTTTATTTTCATTGCATTTTAAAATCATTTGGAATATTGGCCTTTTAGCTCTGTCTAAATAATTATTTTTCTCATTATTTTTCTCTTCAGGGTTGTGATTCGCAGATGATTTACGACATGCTGCTAAGATTGAAATCCACTGTCTATTTACCTGGTGACTTTGTCTGCAAAAAGGTGACTGCATGCTATTTTTCTATTTTTCAGATCATGACTAGTAAATAAATACATTTGAGGAGATCAGACACGGGTCAAGAGCATAGTTTAAACAAAATCTGTCCAGAGTGAATTCCATAGAAAGAAATAATTATGAGATACAATTCTGTGAAACAATAATGTGCTCTCAGAGTCCAAATGGAACAAGGCGATATGGATTTCATTACTGATATTATATGATGTGAGCGTGGGTAGTCTGGAAAGCTGCTTTGTGTAAATGTAAGTCATCAGTCGTCACACCCCATTAATTCTAAATATTTAAAGTGGAAGAAAAAGTTACAGAGAGAAAGGTGGTTCTGCCCTTTTTATGTCTTCAGCAAACTGTCAGTTACCTCCATTTAGTTCATCCAGCTAGTGGATAATCAATGCCACATTTTTTTTTTTTACTTTACTGTGCTTTTTACGATTACAGAGGTATTACATGTTCATTATTTTTAAAATGGAAAACACATAAAAGCACAAAGACAAAAATTGCACCACTCAAAAATAACCACTATTGATGTATTTTGACCTATCTTTTATACTGATTGATGGACAGATAGAGCTTGTTTTATAAAATTGACGTCACACTGTACTTATGTTTTGAAACTTGTTTGTCATGTCACAATACATCATACAAACATTTTACATTTTATTAAGTAATCTTCCACAACCTCATTTTTTAAAGCTGCATAATATTATAATCTATGGGTATATCATAATCAATTTCCAAATGTTTGCTATTATAAATAACTCCAAAGTGAACATTTTTGCACATCTCTGATTACCAGCTTAAGTGGGGAGAGAAGGGATGATAGCGTTGGGTTTTATATCTTGAGAGACTAGATCAATGGTGAAGTCAATAATCAAAATAAAAGTAGAGGAAGATGAGCAGTTCAAAGAAATGAGAGATGATCCAAAGCCCTGGGGAGTTCAGAAGAGTGAGGGTGAGAAGCACTTACATCATTCCAAGATAATGTGTTAAGTGCTGTGGTAGAGGTAAGCACCAGCTGTCGTAGGACTCAGCTTGTCCCACTGGGGGACTGGCAAGATTTCCCAAAGAAGATGATGTTCAAGCTAAGTCTTGAAAAATGAATTGGCGTGAACCACTGAAGGAGGAAACAGGCTTCCAGACAGAGGAAAGAACTAGCAAGAGCTAAGGCAGGATGGGAGGAATCGTGTCTGCACAGAATTACAGTAAGTCACAAGTTAGAATAAGTTTAGTATCATTTATTCAATAAAACTCAATAAATATTTTTGAATACCATGGGCCCGGCACTGTGCTCGGTATAATCAGCAGTGAGCAAAAAGGACGGTTCTTGTCCTCCAGGGGCTTACAGTCTAGTGCAGGGTATTCAATTCAGTGAACAGCAGAATCACCTGAATTGAGACGTCTGGGCTTTGTCTCCAGCGATTCAGTTGGTCCGGGAGGAGCCCACCTATTGATATTCTTTAAAAGCTCCCAGAGGATTCTAAAATGCAGTCCAAGTTGAGAATCACTGGCCTGATGGAAGAGACTAAACAACAAATGGAATTAAATAAATGCATAACTCCAAAATGTGCTAGGTGCTATAAAGGGAAAATAGAATTTATCAGGAGAGCGTGTAGTGGCAAAGGCACTTAATTTAAACGGGGGAGTTGAGAAGGAGAGAAGTTGTCTGGTTGTCAGGCACAACCTTTGTGAAAGCTAAAGACAAATAGTTCTGTAGTAAAAAAAAAGAGGAGAGGATAGCATTTTTTTTTTTTAAAGATCTTATTTATTTTATTTTTTCCCCCCAAAGCCCCAGTGGGTAGTTGTATGTTGTAGCTGCACATCCTTCTAGTTGCTGTATGTGGGACTCGGCCTCAGGATGAATGGAGAAGTGGTGCCTCGATGCGCACCCGGGATCCGAACCCGGGCCACCAGCATCGCAGCGCGCGCACTTAACCACCAAGCCACAGGGCCGGCCCAAGAGGATAGCATTTTAGATGAAGCCTTGGAGCCATGAGGCAGGACCGAGCTTGGCACGTTCAAGGAGCAGAAACGAGTGATGGACTGGGATATTAGGGAAAGACAAAGTCAAGCAGAGTGTGAGGTGCTTCAAGGTCTCTGGGTGGAGAAGCAGTGTGCACAGGTGTAGGTCAGTCTAGTCCATTGGAGAGGACAGAACTGGAGGTGGATCTTTGTGAACCAGCATATAATGGAAGCTGACTTCGTGAGAAGCTCGAGAAAAGGTAAGAGAAGAGGACCAAGGCTGTAATTTTGAAGAATACCGATGTTTACGGAGCAGGTCAATGAGGAAGAAGCAGAGAGGGCCACTGAGAAGGAGCTGTCAGAGGTAGAAGGAAAACGGAGGAGAGATTGTGATATCATGGAAACCAAGAATATGCAATCCCACGGAAATTATTCCAAGCTAAAAGTAGGCAGATCCGTGATACCAAATCATTTTCATTAAAATGGGAAAAACAAGCCACAGCTCACTCTAAGGACCCCTTTAGGGCAGTGGTGCATTTGGAATGACATGGCCCTGATGCGCCGAAATGGCCTTTCAATTTGTTCCAAAAGCAGCAAGGGCTGAAAAATGGAGATGACTCATGGAAACGTCAGCACCCGTGCCCCGAAGCAGTGCAAGTTCACTTAACCACGTGTGAAACACAGAGTGGATGCAACCTTTTCATTTCTAGTTTCTTCCTCGTATCACATCCATCACTCAATAATAAAAACAGATCAGTGAACACAAGTGAGAGAAGGCACGACATAAGTCGGGGGAGAGCAGAAAGGAGAAGACGTGAGATTACAGCCACCTTTCTCTGTTTTTGTTTTTAAGAGGGGATTTAAGTCCTAGTAGACATTGACAGAGATGAGAAGTTGTAACTTGACCAGATTTTAGACCGCTGAATTCAGTTTAGTTTTTGCTTATCATTTCCACAAATCACTGTAGGAAAAGGGAAAAAAAAAAAAAAAAACCCTCATGTTTTATTGGAGGTTGCCTAGATAATTGAAGAAATGGCAGAGTGGGGGACTGAGTTTGCTGACCTGCCTAATCCTCGGGATGGCTCCTAAAGTGACTGAGTGGGTAGCTTGGACTGCTTCGAAGAGTATTTGGGAATTTTCCCAGGATTAATTTTCAAGAATCAATTTGAGTGTCAATAATGCCCCCACTAGCTTCGGAAATAGCCTTCTTCACAGGAAGCCTGAAAAGTTGAAGTGCTTACTCACTCAGGGTTGCCTCAGTCTACAAGAAGCTCTTGAGTTTCTATACTTTCTCCAAATTAGTACATAAACCAGGCACAAGAGCTCGGTTTGATCTTACTTTGCACATGCTGTCAGACCTTGTTCTCTGAGGAATGTCTACTTCATCTGAATGCTAATTAAACTTGCAGGAAAGGCTTAAATTAGCCTAGAAATATGCAAGACATACTGAAAGTTTTGGTTCGTTGATTATGCCAGATCTCCTTGGAAAATTATGGAGATGATCATTAAAAAATAATTAAAAGTGCTGAACTGTGTGTAAATCCCCATTACATACCTCTACCTTCAGTCATTTGCAGTAACTGCCTTTGGAAAATCATTCCAGTTCCTTGAGAATCACTTCATGCAAAGAAAAGGGAATATGACCCTGTCCTAATCATTGCTTCCTGGAGTATCTCTTGGAAAACTAATTTTCAGACACTTTCCCTTATTTTTAAAATAACTCATAGATATTTTACTGGTTTTTAAGAGACCAGTCTTGATATTGGATTCGTGATTAGACATGGTCCATCTGTACATATTCTGTGGAGTCAGTGAGGTAGATGACGCAATTATAACAAGATTGGCTGTCATCTGCCAATCTTGTAAGTTTGCTCAAGGACCTTAATGTTTCAAGCCTCTACCACCAATTTTTAAATAAGAATAATGATATCTTTCCTATTTGACCTCACTGGAATTTTTCTGAGTTAGACAAGTTAATATCTTATGAAAATTCTTTGCAATTATAAAGTAGTATGTTCTGATAAAATAAATACAGGAATTAAAATAAGGAGTAATGTAAATATCAGATATTATTATGACTTTTAAAAGTACTGGCAAATGCAGGGGCCGGCCCGTGGCGTAGCGGTTAAGTGCGTGCACCCCGCTGCTGGTGACCTGGGTTCGGATCCCAGGCACACACCAATGCACTGCTTGTCAGGCCATGCTGTGGTAGCGTCCCACATAAAGTGGAGGAAAATGGGCACAGATGTTAGCCCAGGGCCAGTCTTCCTCAGAAAAAAAAAAAAAAAAAGTACTTGCAAATGCAAGATATTATTATTGGCATTGATATTATGGAAATAACTATAAGACCCATCTGTATTGGAATTTCTACTTTGACCTATATTTAAGAATAAATATATGCTTAATATTCTGCACAATGCAAAATTTAAGCCTACTTCCTGCATTGCTCAGTCAAGAAATGTGCATTCAAGGCTTCCTTTTGTTTCTACTAATTAGTGTTGTGGAGCTTTGGCTAGTCAGTTAAGCCAATGTGTGCCTTTATTTTTCTTTCTGTAAAATGGGAATAATAGTGCTTCCTCTACCTTCCTCATAAAGATAATGGGGAGATAAAGTGAGAGCTTCAGTTTCACAGATGCTAACTAAGAGGTGAAGTGTGAAAACTTTAACTCAACCTAACAAGTATAACACAACAATAATGTTTAAGAAAATAACCCTCAGTATTCAAGGACTTCAAAACTTCCCAGAGAACGGTTCAATTCTATTTCCCTCACTCATAAATGAGTATCTATATCACAAGCCCACTTAGCACCGGAACAAAGTGGACATGTCTCAGCCATCGCAGAGCATAAACTATAATCAACGTTGTTTAATCCTGAGCTAATTTTAGTGTATTCTAATCCTTTGAAAATATGGTTAACAAGAATATTTGATTAACTCAAATAACCCAGTCCCCTCCTGAACTGAGTAAGTAAATGTATTACATTCATGCTATATTTTTTATAGCTCAGGGTGATCAAGACTTAACTCATTAAGATATATAGATACTATTATCCAGATAGTTTGCCTAGTATTATGCAAACTGGCTCATTCAGAGTTTAACAGCTTTTCTTGGCCCAAATGTCATTTAGGTCTCTTGTAAGACATTTATTCTTTTTGGATCTTGGAGTGAGAAGATGTGTTCCAAGGGTCCCACAACCACCCACTAGTTTGGTGATTTGCATGACTCAACATAAAGTTATATTTATGGATTAAGATTTATTACAGGAAAGCATACAGTGCAGGAACAGCAAGAAAAAGATATACGTAGGCAAAGACAAGAGAAATCAAGGGTAGTCTTCCTCCATACTTCTGAGAAGGTCACATAGATGCATTCTTCTCTCCAGCTGTGGACCGGAGAGACAAGAGCAAAATATCTCCACCTAGGGAACCCTGTCTGAGTCTCAGGGTCCAGAGTTCTTAAATGGGGCTAGTCACATAGCTACACAACAAGCCATGGTTTAGATTTCAAACTAGATACAAAGTACACATCATAAATCTTTGTGTTTACATTAAACAAAGCTGACAGCCTGGTACAACCTGCCACACTGCCTTAGGCATACAGAATAACACCATTAACCAGTGGCCGTGTGAACATTCCAGGAGTTTAGTTCTCAGGTTTGAACACGGGTCATTGCCCTCGTTCTAAGAGTCCCCAGAGATAAGCAAGAACTGAGTGAAATGACCTGCTGCATTAACACTTTCCTGTCAATATGGAACAAGAATAACAGCTGAAAGGTCTCATGTGCCGATTATTAAAATCAGACCTCAATGCTATCAGCAGAAGAGTAGAGTTGACCTTTGAATGGCTGTAGCCCATGCTCATTGGATGGACCAAACACCTTCTTCAAAGCATAGCAGTGGTCACCAAAGCCACAGTGAGCATGCTTACAATCAGTTATTTCCTCTACCCATGCCCATTCCCGGAAAAATGTGCTGGCTGAAGTGTCTCCACGTGTCCAGTGGTGGCATTCCGTGCTCACATGTTGGGAAATACCACTTTCCTGATAATTTCCTTCCATGTGATATGTCCAACAGATGTCCGTAACTGCCTCAGGTCTTCAGATAATTACTGTTACATTGATGTTCCTTGCTTCCTTCATTTATGTTTATTCCTCTAGAATAGTTTCTATTCCTCAATTTGGGGAGTAATTGTCAAGCATAAAGTTCCTGTTTACATTTGGCATATAGGGAGAAATTGGCAAGGAAATGTATATCATCAAGCAAGGAGAAGTCCAAGTTCTTGGAGGCCCTGATGGTGCTCAAGTTCTGGTCACCCTGAAAGCCGGGACAGTGTTTGGAGAAATCAGGTATCGGAAAGACACCTCGTAAATATTGACATCTGTCATTTGCCATAAAAGAAAAATCTTAGGTCTTGAATTTCCTGCTCCAATCTATCAAAGCTTTGCTTGTGCTGAGAGCATTGACAAAATAAGGATTTTACATTTCTGTTTATCCTTTCCTTTCCCAAAAGACTTGGCTCATTCAGCTCTTTAGTCCCAAGATGTAGGTCAGTGCCTGGCATAAGGTAGATGTTCAGTGTATGTTGAATGAATATGCGAATGAAAGAATGAATGAATAGTGAAAGAAGAGGTCGGGGGAGTTAGTTGTTGTCAGGTTGTCAGAAGACTTGAACATCGGGCTAAGACAGCAGTTTTGAGTAGGCGAGTGACAGTGATCAGAGCTGTGGGACCAAATTGCCTGAGTCCAAACCCCAGCTCCAACACTTACGAGCTTTGTTTTTTTGTTACTTGGTCTCTCTGTCCCTCAGTTTCTTCATCTTAATAGCTATCATAATAATAGTACATATCTCAGAAATTTGGTAAATGAGTTAATTCATTAAAAGCACTTAGGACAGTGTCCAGAATCTATTAAAAGCTCAATAAATACTAATTATTGTTATTATCATTTCCTCTTGGCCAGGAGAAGTTAATGCTCCAAGTAAGTCCCCAAGAGTAAGAAAATAGACATCAGATTAAGCATTTTGTGGGATAAATACTTCCATATGCATTACTGCTTTTAAACTTATTCATTTATCCATCCAACAAATACTTATTGAGTGCCTGGTACATGCTGGACTGTCAGGTGTTGCTCTAAACTCTGGGAATAGACTGTGAAAACAGAAAATGAGATGTTGCCCCTCACAGAGATTACAGGCTTGTGGGGGGAAACTGACAATAAATAATGAGCTAGACAAGATAAATTCACATTGTGATAACTGCTATGGAGGCAAAAACTGTTAGAAAGTGACTGGAGATGCTAATTTAGATACCATGATCAGGGACAAGCTCTCTGAACAGATAGTATTTGACCTGAGACTTGAGAGAGTAAATGGAGCAGCCATCTGGAAACGGGGGAAGAGCGTCCCGTTTGATGGAACGGCAAGGCCTGGCGGTGAGGCAATCTTGTCTGGTTGAAGGACGTGAAGGTCGGCTTTGCTGGAGTTCGGTGAATAAAGGGCACTGTGGGGAGATGAGGCCAAATTGGTGAGCGAGGACCACATTACACATGGGCTTTAGGCCGTGGTAAGGAATTTATACTTTATTCTAAATACAAATAAATGCCAGTGGAGGGTGTTAGGCAAAAGAACGACCATGAATTACAGTTTTGAAAGACCACTCTAGGGCCGGCCCCCTGGCTTAGCGGTTAAGTGCGCGTGCTCCCCTACTGGCAGCCCGGGTTCGGAACCCCGGGCGCGCACCGACGCACCGCTTCTCCGGCCACGTTGAGGCCGCGTCCCACGTACAGCAACTAGAAGGATGTGCAACTGTGACATACAACTATCTACTGGGGCTTTGGGGTGAAAAAAGGAGGAGGATTAGCAATAGATGTTAGCTCAGAGCCGGTCTTCCTCAGCAAAAAAAGGAGGATTAGCATGGATGTTAGTTAGCTCAGGGCTGAGCTTCCTCGCAAAAAAAAAAAAAAAAAAAAAAAGACCACTCTAACAGCCGTGTGGAGGAGAAACAGTGGAGGAGCGGGAATCAGAGAAGACCAACAGGAAGTCAGCTGCAGCGGTTCAAGTGGAAGACGACGGAGTCTTGAACCAGGATGCTGGCTCTTAAGGTGAAGAGAAGAGGGCGCTGTCAGGCAGTTACTGATACCTTCATTTCACAGTTGAGAAAATTGTAATTCCAAGATGTCAATTATCTTGCCCAGGATAACATAGCTAATAAGTGGAAGGGACAACATCCAAACCTGAGTTTCATGGATCAGAGTCCAGTGATCTCTCCACCACCCCACAGAAGAAAAGAGTTTGTCCAACCACTGATTTCATAGCTGCTAAGAAGTTATCGTCAGGGTTCCAGAGACATGGATCATTTCAGATGACTTTATATATTAGCATAATTAGGGTTTCTTTAGAATGTTGAAGCATGTTATTTCTCTGCTGATAATGTGGCTTCTCTTTTTTATTTTTCCCCCTTGCTTAAGACTATATGAGCACCCCTGAGAGGGTCCTGCTCTGGGACAGTAGTGGAAATATTTCTCAGAATGTCCAAGATCTATGTTCGCTGTTTTCTGTCGCTTCCTTACTGGGAGTCCTTACAAAAGTGATTTAATATTTGAGTGACTTAATCACTATAATCTTCAAGGTCATAAAACATACAACGGTCTAATCTGAAACATTGCAGAAATTAATTAGCTGACCTCTCCCAAGGGTTGAGTACTCCCTGAAGAATAAAGCTTTATAAATACAAGTGTGTTAATTGCTGATGTTATCATCACAGGAGGAAATACTCTAGGAATAGAATCCAGGTGCTTCTGGGTTGCAGCTGAAAGGAATCTTAGATTCTTGACAGCAGCTTCTCAAATAAATCTCCTGTTACTCATTTGGTTTCTAAGGCCAAATTGAAACCAGTAGACCAGACAAGCTCTCAACTTGCTCAATAGTCTGGTTAATTCAAGCAAAAGGGAGCTTTTTGCCTTGATTCTCTTCTTGTCTGTGGTTGAGGAGAAACAGGACGCCTCTGCCCCTTCCAGATGCCCACAGGCTTCACAGGCCCACAGCTGTCACGGGCCCCTGGAGCTCAGTTATTTATTCCAGTGATGGAGACAGGCCTGCCAAACATCTAGATACTGGAAAGAGCTAGGAATCGTGTTTACTACTCAAAAATGCTGTGACCTTTGTTAAAATGAGCCAAATCGGCAGTATCATGTAGCATTTTAGAGGGCGTTCTTTTTTCTTAGGAAAAAGTAAGAAAGAAAATAATTGAGGGCTTTCAAGGACATTATATGTTAATCCAAAAGAACAAAGCCCCGACTAAAATATAGATTTACAGCCTGTCATGGAGAAAAACCAGACCACATTTCCAATTAACATCTGAAGAGTGCAGACGCCCCATTTTTTTTTTTTTTGAAATTTATTATTTTTTTATTGATGTTTTAATGGTTTCTAACATTGTGAAATTTTGGGTTGTACATTTTTGTTTGTCCATCACCACATATATGACTCCCTTCACCCCTTGTGCCCACCCCCCACCCCCACTGCCCTGGTAACCACAGTCCAGTTTTCTCTGTCCATGTGTTGGTTTATATTCCACATATGAGTGAGATCAT